TGTGAGAAATGAGTTTGTGGTGTTAATCTGGTTCCTAGAAGTCAGGTGTCCCCATGGTAAAAATGAACATGGCAGTCGTCACCCAATTGTTGGCAGTCTGTTCAGAGAAGCCAAGCAAGCCCTCTGAACTCAGCATTCAGTCATGTTGATGGAGCATGAATGTACTGCTGAGCTCAAGGATGGTTCATCTGTGGCAAAGTTGAGCTATTTTGCCAGGGTGATGTTGGGAAGTTATTCTGGGTGGAACCTGGAAGAGCAGAGGACAATGAAAATGGAAGAATACCATGGGCGGAACATTAATCCAAACTCCTTTGAACCAAAAGAGGTTGGATTTTTAGTCTAATTCTAAATTAGAGAAAGCTCTGGTTCAGGCCTTATATTATTTAGTTCCCACATCTCTAATAGTCAAACAGTTCCCAAAGCATAGTTCGAACCATGTAGAGGTGGGGAAGACATCAAGTATGACTGAGTTTTGAGTCCTGCAGCCATGTTAAAGTGGACAACCAATTATTAATGGTCAGGAGGCACAACGCACATCATCCCTATCTTTTGTACCTGTAGACTAACGGATGATGATCTGATATCTTGAAATGTTCAGATACTTCCTTCACTCGCAACTGTGATTGGACACAGAAGTGCCACCATTATCCTGATAAGCTGTTCTTTGTAAATTTCCACACCAATTTTTCAGGCTTCGCTGGTAGAAATAATTCAGATAAACTTTGGATTTGTATCTGAACTTTGTGAACCTGATTGATTCATTTTAGGACCTCATCCTGCAAACACTCGCTCATGTAAGTAGTCTCATTAAATCCAATGAGACTACTCACATGAGTAAAATGACTCACATGTTTACAGGACCTTAGAAAGTTTCAAATCAGGAGTGACTCCACTGAAATCAGGAGAGTCACACCAGTGTATAACTGGTGTAAGTGAGATCAGAATTGCTTCCCAGTTTGGTCTTAGTTCTGAATTTAAGGCCACGATGCAACTTTTTTTTTAAAGTTATGATTACAATTACTTTAAAACCAGGAAAGGCTCTAGTCTTTTTCAGCCAGGGGCAAATTAAATCATTGAACTCAGGGGTAGGGGAAATAAAAATCCACCTACATTTTACATAGCGAATAGAAATTATTTTCTGAAGTAGAATACTACTGACTGAGAATCCATCAAACAGCAGCTAGCAGTTCAAACAGGTAATGACTCTTTTTTGCTCAATTCTGGTGTAATTAGCTCTCCAGAGGATTTTTTGGAAACATGCTTGGAATTGTTATAGCTTTCAGAGCAGAGTGAATATGATTCATGCCTTTTGGGAAAAGAAAGGTGATTATTTATAAAAATGCCCCCTTTAGTTCTGGATACATTGCAGAAGGCTGTGTGTTATATACATACCGATCATCTTTCAGGCTGTCAGGGAGTTTAAAAATCCATTTGAAACT